AAGACATCAGCAACAAGTGTAAAGAGGAAAGGGGAGAGTGGATCCCCTTGTCTTAAGCCTCTATTGGCTGGAAAAAAGTCCTTAACCACCCCATTCACCAACACTAAATAATGACAAGAGTTTAAACATCCTCTTATCCAATTACACCATTTATCCCCAAATCCACATCTTCTCGACATCTCTAACAGGAAATTCCAATCCACTAAGTTATAGGCTTTCTCCAAGTCCAGTTTGCAAACAAATCCTTTCCTGCCCGATCTCCTTATCTCTTCCACACTCTCATTTGCAATAAGGATCTGATCTGTAATTTGTCTACCCTGTATAAAGGCTCCTTGTGCTTGGCTAACGAGAGAGGGGAGAACTACTTTGATCCTCCTAGAAAGCACTTTTGCCAAAACCTTATAGATGCTTGTCACCAGGCTAATTGGCCGAAAATCTTTGGGGTGTCTGGAATCATTCTTTTTGGGAATTAAGGCTATAAAGGTGGCATTGATTCCAAGACTCACAAAATGTTTATCCTCAAATTCTCTAAATACTCCAATTAAGTCTTCTTTGACTATGTCCCAACAGTCCTGATAAAATGCCACTGTAAATCCGTCAGGACCCGGTGCCTTAGCCCTATCCATAGAAACAACAGCTTGTTTAATTTCCTCTTCCTCAATCACTCTTTCCAACCATCCCTTATTTGTTTGGTTCAAAGTTGGCCAATTCTCCTCCCCTACTATTAACTGATTCTCTAAGGGTCTTTGAAAGATGGATTTGAAGTGATCCACAATCCTACTGGCAAGCTCCTCTTGAGAGGTTATCTCCACACCATCGACCTCAAGCTTTAGTATCAAATTTTTCCTCCTTCTCCCATTAGCCAAAGCATGAAAGAATTTGGTATTCCCATCCCCTTCTTTGATCCACTTATGTCTGGATTTTTGTCTTCAAGAGATCTCCTCCCTCAACAAAGTCTCCTCTAACTCCTTTTTCAGCTTCCTCCTCATTTCTCTGTCTTGCTCATCCATCATCCCTTGGGATTCTTTTGCATCTAACTCCTCAATCTGAACTAATAATCTAGCTTTTACCTCCTCCACTCTTCCAAATTGAACCTTATTCCATTCTTTTATTTTGCCTCTCAACCTTTTTAATTTTTTGTGGAATCTAACCCCATCCCATTT